ATTTTCTCAAGATAATTGACATGTTTTTACTTTTTTTAAAATAAAAAAAATAGAGGCAATTTATATATTTATTTATATTATACAAAAAAAATTAAAAGATAAAGTGATACATATCTTACATAGTTAAACAGAATAATTTTAATTTATTAGTTATTTAATTATATACATATTTTTTATTTCAAAATAATTATCATTTGTTAATTTTAAATTTTTAAAAATTATTTTTTATTTTTTATTTTTTGAGGTAGATAAATATTTTTTTTACTTTAACCTTAAATTTCCTAATCACAAAAACTTCTACTTTATCTTTTAACTTTTTTTAAGATTAGCATAAATAAATACATAAATAGTATCTAAATTCTTAATTTAAAAAAATTCAAAAATTAATAATTATTATGGAACAAATAGAATAAATAAAAACTATATATAGATATATTACTACATTAATAAATAAAATTAAAAATTAAAAAATTAAAATATCTTGATAATTAAAATATAAAATAATAATAAATTAAAATATTTTTAATAAATTATTGGCACATAAAAAATTTATTTAATACATTTGAACAATTTCAAAAAAAAAATTAAAATATAAGGAAATAAGAATTTCCACATTAGGGTGCATTGTTTTAATACTAGACCTAACAAATGGGCATGTCAGGGTGGGTTAGGGTTAGATTAGAACGACTTATGGGTAAGAACGGATTAGGTTAAAACAAGTTACAGGCCAATGAAGATTGACTTTAACTTGCCCATCATGGGTCACGATTTGACCAAATTGAATTTTTTTCCTTTTTTTTCTTTGTAATTTGTATTTATTACTATCCAAAGAAAATTATTCAAAAAATTTTAAAATGAAATTCAACATCTTATAAAAAGATTTTTTTTTCATTAATTTAATAAAATATATTTACAGTTCCTCAGAGTCACCTGCTCCACTTTCTTTCAAAGAATAGTGCTCATCAAATTCAAGAACACCACACACTTATAAATCTCGATAGCCAAAAAAGAAAAAAGCAATAGTAGCATGATAATAAAAAAACACAAACCCCATTGGAACATATTTGTGCTAGTCATTGGTTTCAAAGAATCAACCAATTGAATGCATTTGAGTAAGTAAAGGAGAAGATCAAATAGAACTTTTACTTGGAATGGAAAGAAAACTAAAAAGCATAAACAAGTAAATAACTTACGTTGAAGGCTTTAGAGAGAAAAGTTGGTGACAAAGAGAGCACTTGTTAAACTCGAAGGAGAAAGAAAGAAAAGGTTGAGTTGACACGATGGTGAGTAAGTGAGACTGAGACTTGAGTATGAGATAATGTTAAATACTAAAGAGAAAAGGTGGAGTTGAAACTTGAAAATTGAAAACTGTATACACTATGGAGGTTGAAGAATATGAGAAGAGGAGTTTAAACTTTAAAGAGTTAGAGTGTTAGAGGGTATTAGAGCAAGTAGGAATAGAAAGGTCAAGAGGTGAGTTGTGAGTGGAGTGAGATTATTTTTGCTTTTAGAAGATGATGAGCTAAGAGAATCAATTAGTCAATTAGGGAGAATTAGTCAATTATAATAAGTTTAGGTGGAATTGGGAATTAGAAAATAAAATAAATAAAAAATAAATTAAAAAATTTTAAATTTTAATATGGGTAAATGAGTTAAACTCGTTAACCTAATGTGTTAGTTCGTTATTGACTTGTGATAAGTTGATTTCTCTTAATAAGTCATTAACATATCATAAATTATGAATATCTAATCTTAACCCATTTTAAATTGTGGGAGACAATGGGCATAGATTATGAATACCTAATTTGAACCCATTTTAAACAGAGGGAGACAATGGATAGCTTAACGAGTTGGGTAAAATATTGTCAAATCTATTTAAAACAATGGCA